GGCGTGAGGAAGAGCGGCGGAGGGGGGAGCGGGGCAGTGCGGTAGGGGAAGAGACGGTAGAAGGGGACCGACTCGTTATACGTGACGTCCTGGGAGGAGAGAACACGGCGTGAGGTGGGGTGGTAAAACTGCCAACCAGGCGCGTCAGGGGGGAAGCCAAGAAAGACGCAGGGAACAGTACGGGGGGACCGCTTGTCCGCAGACAAGTCGCGGACAAAAGCCCGAGATCCCCAGACACGAAGCGCAAACGCATCGCCAACCTTCCCCGTCCACTGCAGAGTAGGGGAGGTCTCCGGCAAGGAGACCCGGGGCTGAAGGTTGATCTGATGCGCCGCGTATTAAACCGCGAACGGCCACAGAAAATGGGGAGCAACCGCATGGATCATGGACGTACGAGCGACGTCCATGACCATGCCAATGCGGCGCTCAGCAATCCCATTTTGCTGTGGAGAGGCTGGAAGCGTGAAGGTCTGGCGGATGCCCTGTGCACGACAGAAGGCTCGCAGAAGGTCAATGGAAAACTCACCTCCTCTATCGGAGTGCAGACGCAGGACAGGAAAGTCCGAGCCGAAACTCTCTCTGAGCTGGAGACGAGCTGCGCGGATCCAGTCGATCAACACCTCAGTGACCTCACCCTTGCTGCGCAAGGGGAAGACTGTGGTGTAACGCGAGTAGTCGTCAACCACCAGCAGGAAGTAACGCTCGTGACCCTCTCCATGGACGCGGGCTGGGCCCCATACGTCCATGTGAAGCGTTTGCAGCGGAGCCTCTGTCGGAGGAAACTCGGAGGAGTGAGGAGCGGCGCGCTGCCGCCCCTCGACGCAGGGAACGCAGGTGGGGGCAGGCCCCGGAGGAAGAGAAGGGAGGGACCGGGGGAGACCCGAGACAAGGAAACGAGAGGCCATGCCTCGGAGACGAGGCAGGGAGGGGTGACCAAGGCGGTGGTGCCAGAGGAGAGTCTGGTGAGACAGGAGACGACACGAGCAGGGGGTAGACTCAGGACCAGACCTGGACGCTGCAGCAAACACCTAACTTGACGCAGCTACTTGAGGAGACTCAGTAGTCAGTGTGTACAGGCTCGACTCTGGCTGACGGGTAAACGTGGCCAAGTGTCGGCCCGTCCGAGCACACGTACAGTGGGTCACTCGGTGACGCGCAGGAGTGAACTGGTCAACCCCTCCATCCTGTTGGTCAGCACCACTCACCAAGTTCGTAGAGAACGAGGGGAGGTAAAGACCTGACATGGAGCCAGAAGGGGCCGCCGGACACGGTAAGACAGTGGAGAAGTGGGCAAGGACAGGACCCCCAGGGGGGTCTGCCAGGGAGACTGCAACCGACCGACTGAGCGGCGTGAGTGTGGTGCGGTCTCGAAAGAAGGAGCGGGAAGCACCCGAGTCAAGGGTGAAGGTGTGTAAAACCTGAGCCGACGTGGTACCTGCGAGAGCAGACTCACCAGCACCTGGGGCAGCAGACTCACTAGCACCTGGAGGAGTAGACGCACTAGCACCTAGAGCAGCAGCCTCACCAGCACCTAGAGCAGCAGCCTCAATGCCTGGGTCAGGTGGAACACACAGGTAATAGTCACCCACATCACTAGTAGGCAATGCATACATGGAAATGAGCATAGCATCATAGTCAAGAGCATAGATATCGACCCTCTGCCTAAGCAGCTTCACCCAGTCGGGGAGCTCAGCGACGTCGCCAAACTCTGTACGCCAGGCGTCGCTCAGACGGGCAAAGCAGCGGGACTCTGCGTGACTCAACGTCCCACAAGGCTGACCAGTCCGAGCACCAGTGCGAATGACGTACGGACAGCGAGCAGTACTCCGTGACCCTCCACGCTGAGTGTACCACTGACAAAGCTGCTAGGGCGAAAGGACCGCGCGCGGACTACGTTGCAGCTGCACCTGGCCACGACAGGCAGCTCCCGAACTACTCACGCCAGAACGACTCTCACTACGGCCACCCCGACAACCCCAAGTAGCGTACCACTCACGAAGCTGCTGGGGCGTGAGGGACTCACGCGGACGTCGCTGGAGCTGCATCTGGCCACCGCTTGGGGCAGCAGGAGCAGTGGTAGCCGCAGTGGCAGCAGTAGCAGCGGTAGCAGTGCGGTCACCCCTACAACACCAACTAGCGTACCACTCACGAAGCTGATGGGGGCCGAGGGACTCACGCGGACAGCGCTAGAGCTGCATCTGGCCACGCCAGGAGCAGCAGTAGCAGTAGAAAGTGCATAGTAGCAAGAGCAGCAGTAACAGCAGTAACAGCAGAGCTCACCAGTGGCAAGAAGGGCAAGAGTACGACAGCGGCAATGGTGAGGCCGCTACCACCGAAGGGCGAGGGCTACGCGGCTGCTGCAGGGACTGCTTCTCCAAAGGTCAGGGGCGGCTGCTGCAGGGGCGGCTGCTCCAGGGGGCAGGGGCAGTTGCAGCAGCGGCGGCTGCAGCAGTGAGAGACGAAGGAGGAGGAGGAGCAGGGGACGGCTCACACACCCGCCACCCCCATACCCTGAGTGTGCGGTAAGCGAGCTCAGGTGTGCGCGAAGCATGCACAAGCGTGGGGGAAGCGAACGCGGGTGTGCGGTAAGCGAACTCAGGTGTGCGGGGAGGGGGGGGCCGCAGGGCGACGCGCGGGTCCACGGGGGCGGCGCACGGGTCCCACGGGGTGGCGCATCGTGATGGCGAGGGCCGCGCGCGGGTCCCTAGGGCGACGCAACGGGATCGCGGGGGGCGCGCGAAGGTCCCCAGGGGTGAAGGTGCCGCGGCGGCTGACACGGCAGCGGCGGCGGCGGCTGCTGGTGTCGGCGGCGGCTGCTGCTATCGACAGCAGCGGCTGCTGCAGTCAGTGGTGGCGGCGGCTGCTGCGGCCGGGGCAGGGGCGGCGGCGGCTGCTACCGTCGGCGGCGGCGGCGGCAGCTGCTGTCGGCGGCGGCGGCGGCTGCTGCGGCCGGGGCAGGGGCGGCGGCGACTGAGAAGGGGCCGCGGGGCCTTGAGGGGCCGTATGAGGGGCCGCGAGGGGCCGCGAGGGGCCGCGAAGGGGCCGCGAGGGGCCGTGAGAGGGGTCGCGAGGGGCCGGGAGGGGCCTTAAGGGAGCCGCGACGGGGCCGCGAGGGGCCGTGGGAGGGGCCGCGAGGGAGCCGCGAAGGGGCCGCGAGGGGCCGTGAGAGGGGCCGTGAGGGAGCGGCTAAGGGGCCGCGAGGGGCCGTTAGAGGGCGCGATGGGCCGCTAAGGGCAGGGGACGCGACGGGAGGTCAGGCACACGGAGCGCGACTCAGGCAGGGGCGAAGCGCGCTCCGGGCAGGATTTTTTTTTTTTTTTTTTTTGGATTTTCGGTGGGCCCTAGGAAACGTTCCCACTAGGGAACCTGCTCTATACCATGTGAAAGAATGAGGAATGAATGCACTAGGAAACAAGTGGGTACAAGTAGGAAAACCTAAAAGTGTTGTACCCCATATTGTCTACCCCACTACAGTCTACACAGACTATAGCATATAAGTTTGACAGGGCTGCGTGTCGGAATCTGGTCGCCCAGCTGCAGGATGGGGCGCTTGACCAATCCGAATTGTAGGTGAGGTGGCGCTTGACTTCCGCCCACCTGCACTGTTCTTGGAGTTGAGTTGCTGCACTGTTACGATTGACTTCCGCCCACCTGCATTGCAGTTGGCAGCATTCGGCTGCTGCACTGTTACAACGTGCCACCGTTTTCAACCTGATATAGAACCCCCACATCCTGGGTGGCTGGATCATGCGTGTAGAACAGCCAATGCAGATTCTGTGCTTCCCCGCAACTTGCGTGGACTGGCAGGCAACTCGAGTTCTACCTCATTTCTCCACAGCCTGTCTGAGCTCACATCCTATCACATTTTATGAGTGATAATGACACAAGCACTGTCTGAGTCATGTTTCTCCTCGTACGAGTCTGTGACGACGGTAGTGGCTTTTGTGCCTAATAAACCCGAGTAGCTTAGTATACTATAGTTTAACTTCGAGTTGAAGCCAGGCCACAATGGGTGCGTTCGCCGAGCTTCGAACACGCACTTCAACGAGTAGAGATGCTGATTTTACCGGGTACAACCGTGGATTCATCACACACGCTGTCTTGCCAGTTATGCCGGCGTCTAGCAGGAAGATTGGCTCTACTACTTGCAGTAAAGCGGGCCAGAAGACTAGTTTTAGCGGCGTTGCGATGTTTCTGCATTACCTGATGTCTTTAATTGCGGGAAAGCCGCCTCCGCCGCCGGCGAAGGCGCAGCCGGCGGCGGTGCCGGCCAACCCGCGGCTCGTTCTGCTGGCGAATAACTCGTTCGATGCGAAATGCCTTGATGGGAGGTTCGCAATTTGGGAGGGGAAAATGGGAGGGGGGAGTATGGGATGAAAAGCGAAGCGAGGTTGCATCAAGTCGACTCAAAACCGAAGAATGCCCTTTTTGCTGAACGAGCGAATTAGTGCAAGACAGGGTATTAGCTATTCCTGCTGAGCAAATAGCTTCCCAACCCCCTCCACGAACCCAACCGGCCAGGATACAATTTCTGGGCGGGCAGGGGGGACAGAAAAAGCACGTGGTTCAGGACACTATTACCCCCATCCCTTCCCCCTCTTTCCGCCCACCACCCTCCTCTATCTCTCTCCCCTCCCTGTACCTCATCACTTCTCCTCCCCACACATTCCCTCCCTCGCATTCCCTCCCACACATTCGCTCCCCCACGTTCCCTCCCACACATTCCCTCCCTCACATTCCCTCGTTCACGTTCCCTCCCCCACATTCCCTCTTCCACATTCCCTCCCCCACATTCCCTCCTCTTCCCCCTCCCCCTCTTTTTGAGACACCTCAGAAATAGACCCCCCTCTATCTCTCTCCCCACACTGCACCTCATCACCTCCCCCCCCACATTCCCTCCCCCTATGTCAATGATTGATTATTTCAATGACAAGTGAACAGCGCGAAGGAAGAGTAACTTTCCCTTGGAAGCGTATCAGTCAGAGAACCTGGAAAAGCGAATGCGGCTTTTCCAACGCGTCGTAACGTTATCGGCTCTCCCCCCAGATTCCCTCCCCCTCACCTCCCCCTCACCTCCCCCTCACCTCCCCATCACCTCCCCCTCACCTCCCCCTCACCTCCCCCTCACCTCCCCCTCACCTCCGCCTCACCTTCCCCTCACCTCCCCCTCACCTCCCCCTCACCTCCCCCTCACCTCCCCCTCACCTCCCCCTCACCTCGTTCCTCCCAATTCCCTCCCCTTCACCTCTCCCCGTCTCTCCTCCCCCTCTCGCGCCCCCCCCGACCTCCGCTCCCCAGCCCCCCAGGGTACTATTTCCGTGTGGGAACGGGGGCAAGAGCATGTGGCACATCTACCTGCCGCACGGGGGGTGGTGCCGCAACGCCAACGAGTGCGTCGGTAGGAGCAGGACAGCTCTAGGCAGCAGCAAATTTTACCCAGAAGATCCCACCAACGCTGTATACAATCATTCCTAAAACTGCCTTATAAAATGCCTCATAAATTGCCTCCTGAGAAGCAGCTTTTTTCTTAAAACCCGTAGCCCCTCCCAACTCTATTCCCGGCAAAACGTTTGTAGTGTGTCGTCTTATGGTTGATTTGCAATGTGTCGTCACTAACGAGCCATTGAAACACCCCCTCCTTGCCTCGTCCCTCCAACCCAGACCCGGGTTTCAACCCGGCATTCTGAGCAGCAACAGCAGCATCAACCCGCCCTTCCACGACTGTAACCTCCTTACCGTTTGTTTCTCTCTCCCACTCCCCTCTCTCTCCCACTCCCCTCTCCCACTCCCGCCTTCAGACCATCCCCTCCCCGGGTTTCAACGGCATTCTCAGCAGCAACAGCAGCATCAACCCGCCTTTCTACAACTAGAACCTCATTCGTCTCATCTACTGCGACGATGGCGGCTACTCGGGCACAGCAGGGCGGCTAGACATCAACAACAACACTTCCATCTACCTAGATGGGTGGAACATCGTTCAAGCGGTGATTGAAGGTGCGTCGTGGTAATGGGTGAGGAGGTTCCTCACCTACTGGGCTACTCGGGCTTGGCAGGGCGGCTAGACATCAACAACAAAACTTCGATCTACCTGGATGGGTGGAACATTGTTCAAGTGGTGATAGAGGGTGAGTGACTTGGGAGGGCGTTTCATTCTACACTCATCTACTCAGGAACGACATCATCTACTGTGACTGCGGCGGCTACTCAGGCTCGGCAGGAAGGCTGGACGTTGGCAGCAGTGGGACGTGAGGCGCCTCTTTCATCCCTTTCTCTTAAACTCCTCGCTTTTGTGCTTTAGCTCCACTGTTTCCATCTCCGCCCCCCAAACGCAATCAGATCTGAAATCAAATCGGGGGTTCAAATCTGCATCGCAGATCTTACTATCTGGCAGCTCAGCGGGCGGCCAAGCAGTCATGGCTCTCTGCGATCGCATCGCTGCCGCCTTCCCCTGGGCGCCAACCAAATGCATCGCCGACTCGGGCTTCTTTATCGGTGAGCCTGTGTAATCAGATTCAGGCTAGGGCGCTTTCCTGGGCGGCAACCAAATGCATCTCTGATTCGGGCTTCTTTATTGGTAAGTCTTCATTTGAGTGTACTGTACTGTCATGCGTTTGTTCCTCATGTATATTGGTCTAGTGTGTATTTCGGGCATGAATCTCTATTTTGGGCATGAATCTCTATTTTGGGCATGAATCTCTAGTTCGAGCATAGATTTATAGTTCGGAATTGAATGTGTATAGTTCTCCCCATGCTCCACCCCCATGCCTTCCAGACTCCAAGGACCGAGCGGGCGGGTACACGTGGCGTGCATCGGCACAAAGCCTGGTTGGTTTTCACAAGCCCAACTGGACTGATTGCATGGATGGTAAGATGACATGCAATGCATGGTGGTTACATGGTTACCATGTGGTGCGCCTTTCGGCTCAGAGCATATTTGATCTCCACATGCAGAAGTGGAATGCTTGCATGCATGGTGGGCGGGACAAGACGGGGTGTGAAACACGTTATGCAACACGGCATGAAATGGGTTGTGAAACGTGGCATCAGACACTGCCTTCTAAAATATGGCATTGAGTGGGTTTTAAGAGTGAAGTAGGATTGCATAATCTGGGTTTTGTTGAAGTGTTGTTCCGTATCAGCACAGAACCATCCATCCATCCATCCATCCATCCATCCATCCATCCATCCATCCATCCATCCATCCATCCATCCATCCATCCATCCATGCAGGAAATATATCTGTTCCACACAATACTTCTCTCTTCCCTCATGTCACTTTCCGTTTCCTCATTTCCTCCTTGCACTGCCCACTCTCCTACTGTCTGCTCGTTATTCCCTCCTACGATATCCCTCCTAACCTCCCTAATGCTTACTCCCCTCACCCACATCCCCTTTCCCTGAGTCATTACGTTCCCCCACCATCCCAACATGTCCCTCCTATTCCCTCCCATGTTTCCCCCCATTCCAAAAAAACCCATCAGCCTTACCAGATACTGATCATTGGAAGTGTTTTTTTTCCGCAGTACATACTAGAAAACGTTACAACCCCTATATTTCTCTTCCGCACATTCTTCGACATTATCGTGAACATGCTTGGCGGGCTGCTGCCGCGAAACACTACATACGCTTATACATGCTTGAATGAAGTGGTGTGGTTGGGCACAGGGATTATATCGAGAAAGGAGTGGAACAACACGGTGTGGAAAACAAATTACTGTACAACGGGAGAGAGGGACGCATTGTTTGTTGCGGCATCTGTTCTTTATGACAAACTCGAGAGGGTTACCGGATGTGGAAACACTGTAGCTGCGTTTGTGCAACCTGGGATGTTACGCATAACATTGTGTTACAACTCGTGGACACAAGCAACAATTCGGGGAATGTCGGTCGAGTCCGAAATAGTACGATGGTTTGCAAACGAGATGACCCATAGATTTGTGCATAAGTAGGTGTCAAATGTTATAGCCTCTAGTGGGTCATGCTATATGGGGTACAAACAGTTAGGGTTAGGCATTTGTATCCCACCCAATCAATCCAACCCATTCCGCTGTGTTTAGTTTCTGAGATGGTATCAGCAGTAGGTTCGCCATTCCTAGGCCACACATAGTCTCCTCCGTTCCTAGACTTCGACCGTCACTATCGCAGCCTTGGCGTGAACCCCCCCCGTTTGCCCTAAGCACGGTAGCCAGCAAGCCCTGTCAAACATTGGAGGTCCGTGAGTGGTACTCTCAGCACGGGGGGGGGGGGGGGGGGGGGGGGGGGGTGGCTTTAGCTGCACGTACGTCATTCGCACTGGTGACCGCACTGGTCAGCCGTGTGGACGACCGCACGCCACACAGTGCTGCTTCGCTCGTCTCAACGACGCTTGGCGTGTTCAGTTCCCTCAGGCCACAGAGCTGCCCTGCTGGGTTGATCTCCTAAAGAAGGGGATTGATATCTATGCTCTAGACTTTGATGCTATTCTCACTGCTATGTATGTGATGTCTACTAGTGGAGAGGGTGCTGAGTACCTGTGTGTGCCGCCCGACCCGGGCAATAGGACTAGTGCGTCTGCCGCTCCAGGTACTCGCGTGTCTGCTACCCCAGGTGCTGGTGAGGCAGCTGCTCTAGGTGCTTGTGGGTCTGCCCCCCCTGGTACTGAGTCGACGGCAGCACTGCACACCTTCACACTGGACTCAGGTGCTTCTCGCTGCCTCTTTCGTGACCGCACTGCCCTTGAGCCGCTTGCTCGGCCAATTGATGTCTCCCTCGCTGACCCCTCTGGGGGTCTGGTCATTGCGACCTCCTCCACTGTCCTTCCCTGTCCTGCGGTCCCGTCGAGCACACTGTCAGGTCTCAACCTCCCCTCGTTCTCTACGAACTTGGTGGCAGGTAGTGCACTCCAGGACGGGGGTGTTCACCAGTTCACCCCTGCCTACGAGTGCGTGACGCACTGCACGTGTGCTCGTACGGGCCGCCACTTGGCTACCTTCACTCGGCAGCCGGGGTCGGACCTGTACACACTGACCACTGAGTCCCCTCAGGTCGCTGCGTCTGCGTCCGCGTCCGCGTCAGGTCAATTGTCTGCCCCCTGCTCGTGTCGCTCTCTGGCGCACGAGTCTGTCCTCTGGCACCACCGACTTGGCCACCCGTCTGTGCAGCGCCTTCGTGCCATGCACTCCCGGTACCTTGTCTCTGATCTTCCCAGAGTCCTCCCTCCCCTCCCACCCTCGCCTGCTCCTCCCTGTCTTCCCTGCGTTGAGGGGCCGCAACGCGCCGCTCCTCACTCCTCCTTGTTTCCCCCGACGACTGCTCCCTTGCAGACGCTCCACATGGACGTGTGGAGCCCAGCCCGCGTCCGTGGTCAGGGTCAGGAGAGGTACTTCCTGATAGTTGTTGACGACTACTCGCGCTACACCTCGGTCTTCCCCTTGCGCACCAAGGGTGAGGTCCCTGATGTCTTGATCCCTTGGATCCGCAGAGCCCGTCTCCAGCTCAGCGAGCGTTTTCACTCGGACTTTCCTGTCCTGCGCTTGCACTCTGACAGACGTGGTGAGTTCTCCTCCGACCTCTTGGCAGCCTACTGTGCTGAGCATGGCATTGAGCAATCGTTCACGCTTCCGGCTTCTCCACAGCAGAATGGGGTTGCGGAGCGCCGCATTGGCCTGGTCATGGAGGTCGCCCGTACCTTCTTGATCCATGCGGCTGCCCCCCACTTTCTGTGGCCGTTTGCGGTCCAGTACGCTGCGCATCAGCTCAACCTCTGGCCCCGTGTCTCCTTGCCGGAGACCTCGCCCACGCTGCTGTGGACGGGGGAGGTTGGCGATGCGTCGCGTTTCCGGGTCTGGGGGTCTCGAGATTTTGTCCGCGATTCATCTGCGGACAAGCTCTCCTCCCGTGCTGTTCCCTGCGTCTTCCTCGGCTTTGTCCCGGATGCGTTTGGTTGGCAGTTTTACCACGCCACCTCGCGCTGAGTCTTGCCCTCCCAGAACGTCACTTTTGACGAGTCCGTCCCCTACTACCGCCTCTTCCCCTACCGCACTGCCCCGCTCCCCCCCCCCCGCCTCTCTTCCTCACACCAGGTGCTGCTGTTGCAGACCCCCTCCCCCCTCAGGGTGCCGCTCCCTCAGGTGTGTCTCAGGTAGACCCGGTTGAGCCTGTTGAGGTAGCTGTCGACTCTCGTCCTGCTGCGGGTGCGGAGCCTGGGGGTGCTGAGCCTGGGGGTGCGGAGCCTGGGGGTGCTGAGCCTTGGGGTGCGGAGCCTCGGGGTGCGGAGCCTGGGGGTGCGGAGCCTGGGGGTGCTGAGCCTTAGGGTGCGGAGCTTGGGGGTGCGGAGCCTGGGGGTGCTGAGCCTGGGAGTACTGAGCCTGGGGGTGCTAAGCCTGGGGGTGCTGAGCCGTCGAGTCCGGAGTCTGGGGGTTCTGAGCCTGGAGGTCCTGAGCTTGAGGGTCCTACACCTGGAGGAGCCCTCTCCTCGGAGCAGCTGCGTGAGTGGTACTTACAGTACTGCAGCCTCAGGAGCGGTACCTCTGGAGCCAGGTGTACTACTGGGACTGGTGCTAGTGCTTCTCCTCCTAGCCAGGAGCTCCCCTCCCATGAGCGGATCTGTGAGTGGTACGAGCGGCGCTGCACTCTTCCGAGTGGCGCGCCTGCTTTCCGGACCCCGCTGCTGCTGGTGGTGCTGCTGGTGCTGGAGACTCTACTGGTTCTTCTGGTGCTGCGGACCCGAGCGTTGGAGCTACGGCTGGTGCTGAGGACCCGGGCGCTGGTGCTGCTGCTGGTGCTGAGGACCCGGGCGTTGGAGCTGCTGCTGGTACTGAGGACCCGATCGTTGGCGCTACTGCTGGTGCTGAGGACCCTGGTGCTGCTGCTGGTACTGAGGACCCGGGCG